ATTCTGTTAACATTTCCGCATAATGCTGGTCAGTTTTAAACCCTGCGTAGGTTTACATGAGATTTATTTTCCTGATGTGGTTTCAAGTGTTCTCAGTGAAATAGCAGAATCTCGACGTATAGACTGGCCAATTGTCTTTGCAATAATAGGCGTTATTTGTTTTTTCGCCACTTCCTTTTTTCCGATCCAATTTTCCATTATTTTTTCTAATTTTTTGAGATTATTATAAATAGTTCGCATGGGGATATTTGTGGCCGTTTGAATTTCCTTAACTGAGCGTATTCCGATGTTCCAATAATGCAAAATGGTCTCACGTTGCGTATTCAAACTTGATTTAGTCATTTGTAATGTAAATATTATTATTATATTACCACTTATTATTATTTTGTATAGGTCCCAAATTTTTACATTCATTTAATTATTTTATTTCATTCATCATGTCATTATTCATTATGTCATCATTCGGACAATATTATTTACACATATTATATATATTATATATTATATTTTATATTTTATATTTTATATATTATAATGTACCAGACATATCTATCTATGTTATTATTTATAATGTTAATTTTTTTTTACGTGAAATTACTAGTAAAAAATGGGTCCTTTATTTATAAATATGAAAAATATGAAATAACTTTTTAAATTCAATAAAAGTTTGTGTTCTTTCTCTCTTTTATTGTCTATATAAATAATCGGATTAATTTTTTTTTACTTCTAGAATGGTTTCTTTGACATGATCTAGTAAATAATTATTTATGTTTTTGATTATCAAGTAACTTATCAATAAAATTCCAAATATTCCTAATAGAAAAATCCAAAAAGCTAATATTATAAATAAAATACAAACACACGATCCACATCCATCCGCGTCATCAAACATACAAGCAGCGCAGCAAAAATACGTGCTACTACCACCGACACCTCTTGGACCAACGCAACAAGAACAACCTAAAGGACCGCCCATACTTGTATCTTGTCCAAATATATATTTACAAAGCAAAAATAGCAATCCACAACACGAAATTATACACAAACTTATTATGATGTGAACCAGGTATAAATTCAACACTGTGGTATATTTCCAATCGTTTTTTTCTTCACCAGCCGGCCCACCCGGAGTAATCCATTTAAAATCAATCACTTTCATCAGAAAAGATAGCAAATATACCAGTAAAAGGAATACGATCATTGTCATCAAATGCAAAAATATTTCACTATCAATTATGTGTATTATGAACGGTCTATACATTTTATATCTATATTTACACACTTCACATTGATACGCCGAATCACTTCTTGTGTTTGATTTACGCCATTTATTCAAACATTCCAAATGTACATATTGCAATGAACCTTTACATCTACACGGCGAAATTAATTTATTCTTTTCTTTGTGCTTTTTTGCAAAAAGGTTTGACCAAAATGATGACTTAAATGATGAATTCGTAGAATTTATAGATGGTTGCGTTGGAGATAATGTCTGTGATGATGATGATGATTCATGACATATTTTGCAAAATTTTTCTTCTCTTCTTTCAACATCATTGTAGTTGTTAACTGGAATTGAAATTTGTGAATTGTTGTTATCGTTGGTGGTATAGTGAGGTTGTGGTGGCGGCGGTTGTGGCGTTGTGGTGGTGGTGGTAGTAGTAGGGTATTGCATAGATGATGGCTGTGTATCGATGTATGTCCTTGATTTTGATGATAATGACGACGCTGCTGAATTGCTTCTACTAATAGGTTTTATATAGTGACTAGAATCATTGTTGGTGAAGTTATTGTGATTGTAATCACTATTATTATTATTTTTATTATCCATTGTGAAAATTATTTTTGGTTGTTTTTCGATATTTTATTATTTCAAAAAAAAAATTTTTTTTTTTTAATT